TGACTTGCGCGAGCGCCGTGCTACCTCATGTGACCTCTCGACTTCGGAAGTCATGAGATAGGATCTCAATCGAACTTCAACTTTCAGGTAAGTCTTGTTTACTTTCCCAATTTTAATACTCGTATTGGATTTCAGTTCGTGAGGTTTTAGCTACAGTTCTCCTCACTCCCGCTTTGTGGGATTCTTCGTCCAATGCGACCAATGCGACCTAGCAAAAACATGACTTCCGTTTTTTTTTTTTTTTTTGTTCAGTGTATAGTAAAACAATTATTAGATTCGGTTTTTGTGATATCCAGAATGATCAAGGTCTCGGTAACCCCTACCTCGACCTTGATTATTCTGGATATCACAAATCTCATCCAATAATTGTTTATAGTCTGCACCACCATTAAAACCCTTAAATTGCTTGCGCAATCTTCGGGTTAAAAAGGAGGTAAAATAAGCAAAACTCGTATATTCCGATTTCTGGTTTTCTATAAACAAGAGCATTCAAAAACCACAAATCATTAAGAACATGACGACTTACAGTTCTTTCCGTTCCTTTCTTGATTCAAGGAAAAGTTACTTGGGAAAGCTGCAATCATTGTTAAAATGTTTATGTGTTCCGCAATCTATTCTTATCAACGATACTGAAACCTCGTGCATGACACGTGTCTTAATACTGGTGTATGAATGTCTTATCACGAGGGAATGAGCTTGCAGAAAAATAAATAAATGTTTATAGACAGCAATATTTATGTCTTTATTCCTTTCTTTGTGTACGAGAGCAAAGTGTTTGTCACTTGGTTTACACTTGACTGGGTTCCAATAGGAAGAGAGAGGACCCTAGTAACGATCGCGAGGCTGAGTGTTTATGAGCGGCGGCCATTGTACTGTGATTACCCTCATCGGCTGTTGTTTTTTGGAGAATTTCAACTTGTTTCTGAGATTCGCAGGGAGTCTTAGGCCTTTTTTAATTAGTGTTTGAGACACCCGCTGCTGTATTTATTTTTCGCGCGCCATCTACTATGAGGTGGGTAAACATTCACTTTCTGTTTGTATACCGAGCACGAAATTCTTGGGTGAATGAGGAACAATCATACAAAGTTTCAGTTCTCGGACAGAACTGTCTGCAATTACATATTTAAATTATGTCACAAATTACTTCGATCAGCTGAAAATCCCGACAATTTCGCGGAAAATAAAATTCTAGTAAACAATGTCGCCCTGCGCAGTCTGCAACGGTCGGGAGAAAATTTATTCTTGAATGGTTTCATTACTTTAAACTCCCGTCTGTTGCTAAACTCAGCATTTTTATATCAACAACCGAAGTTTTACGGACAGATCTAACATAATGATAAAGTCCAGTATTTTCCTGTGTATTTATGGTTAGTAAGTTGAGGTGAGGTCTCCTCTATAAACCAGGATTTGTTGAAACGTTGCGTGACGGCGCCAGTTTCCGTGGACTCATAATTAAGTTATAATAGGACTAAAATATTTGCATTTGCCTTCAAACTTCATACTAAACATTTTCACATTAACTGGTCATGTTTAAGCACAAAAGCTAATTTCTAAAAGTATAATGTACATACAATGTTCTAATCTGGAAGCATGAATATTAGCTGACATTTGCAATCGCGTGCTGGTTTATCTTAAACAAACTCCGTGCGACCAGCGACTGATTCTAAAATATTTTATATTAGCTATATTTAGTTCTTCACAATAGCAAACAATAGTCTTTCCCAATTGACACAGGTATCTGATCCCTATTTAGGGGATACCGTAGAATTCCGAAAGTAACGACCCCGTTACTTTCGGATTTAGCAAGCAAAAAGGGCAGCTAC